ATATAGATATAGATAGATAGATATATAGATATAGATAGATAGATATATAGATATAGATAGATAGATATAATGGGGTTGAGAGGAAATGACGTAGCCACGTCAGTCACTTCTCAGCGAATCAGAGCGCTCCACAGCAGCAATATTCAACCAATCACGAAGCGTTAAAGCAACTAGCATGCTAGATTAGCATAAAATAATTTCGTCACTTTTTCGTCTTTTAAACTGTCAAAATGCACTTTTTCTGTTAAAAATTGTAACGAATCAACTCTGAGCTGTGCGGAGTCTGCTACTCCGGTCTCAAAAACGTCTTTCTAGCTATTTAAACAACTCGTCCGAACCTTTTTCAGAACCGAGCCGTCCAGAACCGCATCTGGACCGTCTTTAAACAGAATAGAGCGTTTTCACCCAGCTCAAAACCTTTTTAGTTACGATAACAGGCGTACAAATTCAGCCTTCACAAGACATATGACATTATTTCAGCTTTCTGTGAGCTTCCTGAGCTTCACAGACCAACACGCTAAAACATGCAGCGTTTCGCTTCAGCGGCGCAGCTTGAGCTGCGTTTCAGCACAGCTGTTAAACTGTTACCTTTCTTTATGCCAACATGTAAAAAATCAATCTTTACACGAATTTACAGTCATTTATGAGCATGTTACGGGCCACCAACTGTAGTATGTCATATATGGATATATATTCATACTTTTTCACGAGTTCCTCATCTTTCTGACTGTGTAAATGTCGTGCATTGAATTTAACAGAAATGTAACGAGAGACGTTATTATCTTTGACCCATCAAAATGAATGCGGTCATCTATTTTCAGAATCAAAGTTTAACATCAAACATTTACATTAATTTGGCAAAATATGAAAATAATAACAGACAAGTTTCACAGATAATGGACTTCAATCACACGGCGGTGATCGAGGACTTTGCTTCAGATATTTCTAAAATATCTGTACTGATTTTAAGAGAAAGCAGAGTTTAAGAGGGAAATGGAGATTTATCTTACAGAGAGATTTGTGAGGGAATTAATCTGTTTGACCAGAAACGTGCACGCTCCATCAGATCTCAGCTTGCCCACGGTACACTTGGTCGAAAATAGAACCTTCTACCTGGTTGATGATAAAATCAGCGTCGGCGTAGGGTTCCTTTCTGACTCTTTCAGCGTCTCCGTGAGGACTGCCAAACCCTTAGAGAGTCGTACGAGGTTATCCAAACAGAAGTTATAATCCCAGAACGTCTCTGCATCTGGATCCTTTAACTCTCTTCATGAGTTAGAACTCTGTTACACTCTTACACTTTAACTCCATCACTCTTCAGCACTCTGTGTGGAACTCTCAGAGCTCTGCAGCATCAGACTCTTCAGCACTCTGACCAGAACCGGGAAGTTGCCACATTTTAAATGAGTTGACTTCCGGGTCAATTTAGAGCTTTCTGATTCGTGGATGGACCAGAATAGAGGTGTGGTTTGTGATGTAAGATGTTATCAAATTCGAGGTCAGAGAATGAGATTGTTTACAACATACAGAAAAGATTATTGGAGAAAACCAGACTTCGTGGAGTCTCACTCTTATTATCTTCTGAAAAAGTTTAAACATGACATTTCTTCTCAGTAAACATTTTAGTTGACCGAGACTCGACCTTTAACATACTTACAAACTTGCTCATTGAAGACAGAAAATCAAGAAATGCATATTAACCTGATTTCTTCTTTGAATGAGGAATAAAAATCATTACTTACTGTTTATGTAAAATAAAAAATGAGTAGTTCTCTTCAACCTGTAAACATTGAGTGAACTAACACAATTTGATTATCAAACATTTGTAAAATAGTAATGATCATAGATAATTGTCTTTTCTACTTGATTAATTCAAGAAAGAAAGTCCCCAGATGACTCAAACTGTATTTCTGGATGCAGATCAATGAAATAACAGTCTCTGTTCATCTGATCAGATTTGAGGTCAGATCAGGTTCACTACAGTATATAAATATATATTAAATTAGTTTATAGAAAGTACATTTGTTTTTCTTATGAACCACAAAACTTTAAGATTCTTAGATCTTAAAAGCAGTTTCTGTGATGACAGCACAGTGAGATTTGTTTATCAATTTTGACATGAACCTTTTTCTAGTGCAATTCTGTTCATAACAAAAGTCAAGATATTGTAATACATCTTTAATATCAACAGCTACAATTAAATGTTACAAAGATGGGTTTAGGGCATGCAGGTAAAGAAAACATGTTTACACTTAGGGATTAGTTTAAACAGTTAATCAAATGAGTATGAATGATTTATCATGAGATGCTCCATTAGAGCATTTCTGACATCATCTCTTCCTTCCCCAACTTCCTGTGTCACAGCCTCCCAGGGTGCAAGGGATAGTCGCTGTGCCAATGGTCCTGAAATGAGCTGGGAATAGGTTTCCTCTCGTGGCTAACTCCCACAGCGTGGACAGTCTCAGAACACTGGCAATCCAGCAAACACATTCCACAACTGTCCCCTTCCATCCACAACAGCTTGCAGGATGATGGAATGCCAACTTTTTCAAT